TAATTCAATATACAGACAAACTATATGAAAAACGTAGAAATAACATAGAAATGTATGTTATATAACTAATAACTGTACTCGCATAATTTAAAATAGGCCATATCGATGGAGCATAACATCATGCATTTTAATGTACAACATAATAATAATATATAATAGAAAAAGGGAGAGTACAAGAATAAAAGAATAAAAGCCGATGAGGACTGTATAGAAGTATTATTTTATATTTCAGACTAAACACCCATTATATGCATATAATAACTATAAAGCGAGTCATTTAAGTTCATATTGTGTTGATGGTTCGTTTAAAAATTCAAAGTATTTTATAATCGAAATTGCATGTATAAATTACATCGACGATTGGTAGAACCGTCGTTCATAAATGTAAAATTATGTGTGAGCATTTTTGACACCATAATTGTATCTATTATGATGATGACTGATGTATACATAAAGGAATAAAAAATATTGGGAAGCGACCTGCATGTCATGCTCTAACACGTGCAGTGACGTACGTCATATTTAAGTACCTATATACATATATACAGCTTAAATTGAAATAATAAACTTAATACCTAATACCTATATAGTATGGGCACAATTCGCGTATCGTTTATATAGATGGTCAATTGAGGTTTTGGCTATAATTCGGAGATTAATTTTTTTTAATGTTCTTAGACTGGACGGCGAGAAGCCTAGGATGTACCCGTGAAAAATAATATCGCGTTGTCGAAATGTGTAATCCGACTCCACGAAGACCGAGACCTTAAAAATATATAATCGGTATAACACCCAAACGCGTCGCGCGTATGGCCCACCGCCGCTGGTAAATGGAAACTATTATTACGAAATAATAACATTATGATATAGACACGTGCGCGTGGGTCGGATAAAGGTAGGTATTATATACCTATATAAATTTAATAATAATTGCGTTTTCCATTTATTCTTTTCTTATACGAATTCGCCGTGTGTGTAATATGCGGTGTTTAAAAGTGATTAACAAAAACCTGGTCGATCAAATATATATATATATATGATATGTTCGTTTATATAAATCTTATTATGGTTTCCAATAATTATCGTGACGTCATTTTTTTTATGCACTCAGAGATTAATAAGATAATCAAAAAAAAAAAATAGTAATAATAACAAAAACCGTGAAAATTGTATAAGCCCTCCCATATAGTTGTGCGAAAAAAAATAACACAATATATCACACAGGTACGTTTGTTTAAATCTTACTTATGGTTTCCGATAATTATCGTGAAATCATTTTTTATGCACTCAGAGATTAATAAGATTATTGAAAAAAAAAATTAAAAATAATAAGCCCTCACATAGATGTAAAATATAACATAATATATAATATTACCCACGTACCTATAATACTACCTATGTTATACATATAAGTAATCGGAGACCTATTTTATACCGGAATAAATTTACATCAACGACGGGTTTTATCTTTTGTAGACGGACACGGGCCACAGAGACACATTAAGAACTCCCAATATCTATTAATACCCTCGCCCCTAAAAAATCTACTTTCGAAAACATTTTATTTGTTTTAAATAATTTTACACTATACATTTTATATTACATATATACATAATATATCAGTAACCATTGCTATTTTAGCCATTATCTGCACAAATGTATACCGCATACCTCTGAAGTAGGTAAGTTTTATAACAAGAAACAGAATATTCAAAAATTATAAATCTGATAGAAAAATACACAACGTAATATCGAGTTTGCAGTGCAGGTAGTTGATAAATTGTATATTCGATTACATAAAATGTATAGAATCATGTAGAAAGCACACTTCAAATCAAAATCTTATGTCCACTCTAATGTCACAAATACTTGTAAACACACGCGGTTTGATCCGAAAAAAAAATTAAAATGGAGTTCCAAAATGCTTATACATATTCATATTTGTCTGGGTGCATGGCGCTGAAATATACGCCCATAACGCGAGCATGATTTGGAACGTCATCGACCAGAACGCGTATACCTATACGAATATAACTAACCTAACATACTATACTTTATTATGTAATGATAAAGAGGCACCTATATGATGTTATGCAATAATAAGTAGGCACCTACAAACGTAAAGGCAATATGCATTTGAAAGACTAACAAGAAATCATAAGAAAAACAAAATTTTATAAACATTAAAATGTCTGATTATAATATCTCAAAAGTCTGAATTTGTAAAATGTTTATAAGCTTTAGAAATAAACCATAAAAATTATTGTAATGTTTTTCTTTTTTTATGTGTAATAGGTATGCATTTTGAACTATAATTTGGACATTGTATTTTTGACATTATATAACAATCGCACCGGTATAAAATGATTGTATTTTTACTATAATTTAATGATATCGATGTCAAATCCAATAATTATTAATATAAAAAAACCAACATATTTTAATGACATTGCTAATACACATATATTCCTAGTCCTAAGATTGAATAATGTATTTTTTTATTACACAATATTACATATAATCACTGTATATAATAGAAACTAATTAACTAAAATAGGTATCTCGTTTTTATCGCCGATACATTGAAAACTATATGAATAATAATGTCATATCCTCCTAATACACGCCCTTTATACTAATGGCATTTCAACAATTAACTGGTTGTACATAACTGTTAGTTATACTCTATTTAATTTAAATATAGGTACTTGATAATAGTTAAATATTATAAGCCCAGCTACCAGCAACTTAAAAATAGTTTATGAATTATTTTAAAATAACGACGATATATTTTTTTAAATGCGTCTATTTATTCATTACTTTTCAAATTATTTATGTTGTGACTCGTAATATTTTATAATTTTTCGTTAAAATTAGAAATTCCAAAAAACAAGTTTTCTAAGAACGTTATCACATATAGGCAATTGTGTAGGTAGTGACATTAAAAAACCGGCAAAATAAAATAAAATAATGAAGGTGCACAGAATGTGAATAAGGATCCGAATATTATAATACCTAGTTAATTTTATATTTGATAATGCATGTTATTAAAAAAAAAATAATGATATTGGTTGTAAACCATTATATTTAATTAAGATCTCATTTTCTGTATCATTTTTTTGATATTATACTAGGTAATACAAATATAAAATTATCGAATACTTATAAAACAGTTATCAATAAATTCTAAATATAATTATACACTTGTATAGAACACTGTGAACCAATAACCTACAGTATGGATTAACTTTAAAATTGATGATTGCGAAGTACGAAGAAAATATTTAATCAGCATCCTGCAGTTGGAGCATATCGAATATACTCAGAAAAAGTGGTTTTTACACGAACATCTAATATGATAAATGTATATCATGGTAATTAAATCAAACGTTTACTGCAGAATTGAAGATTATTTTAATCTCTTTTTGATAAAAGAGAAGTACTCGAGGAATTAATCAGCTTAAGCCTTGCAGACGAAAATTAATGCACACGATTTGCGCACGTTTAGTGTATTAGGCCCGAACTCTGAGCGTGTACAGCTGTACTTAAGTATGTGATGAGAGCGGCGATGGTATCTGAGACCTGTGCAAGACGAGTTGAAAATACGCGAGCTCGCGTCATTCGATACCTTTGCGTCCGTCCGACGACGAAACGTCTGCGTCCTAACACAGTCGCCGGCCGTGTCTCTCGTCGGCCACAAAAAAAAGCATTTTTTCCTCTCTTCCTTTTTTTTCTTGTTCACATCTTTCCCCGTTGACACGTCACCGCCGACGGTGTCACGTGCAATCCAGATATATATATATATATATATATAATTATACACTGCGCGTTATAATATATCGTTCATCAATCATCGCGTCTTGTCAAAATCGGATACACACACACACACAGAACTAGAGAGAGAGAGAAATAGATCTAAAGAGAGCCATTTTGTGTGCGCACGTCTACTGCATATCATAGTCGACTCTGTTTCACCAGCGAGAGACCTTTCAGACTACGCGTAATTATTAATTATATCTGAATATATATAGTATATAAATATGTCACATCCAGTTACTATATATTATATTAATCGCTCTTACCATGGAACGAACAATAATATGTATGGTAAAAAAAAACGTTTTGCTGTAACCCGTGTACAACTGTCATAATATAGACTTGCAAAATGTATATAGTTTATCATTTTATATAATAGTATATACGTTCGATTATTGATGTCAGTTGGTTAAATGTATTATGGTAGTTGCAATGTACCTAACCAATTCAGAGGCGGATCAAACTTTTTCAGTCTTTGAAGTAATATTTATACAATTTAGATAGGCACCATCACCACGATCTGTTTCACAACGCCAGCGAGGATCATAATTCTTGAAATCTAAAAACGAATTACCTCAGAGTTACTACTACTGTCTTGATATAAAAAAAAACAGGTCCGGGCGTATAATATTTGTGAACTAATAATCGTCTCCAGCTCGTAATTCACAAAAATTTGATTACAAAAACTCATAGATATAATGAACATGGCAGCAGGTTTATAAAACAGTTTGGAAAAATAACAGAATAACCTACAACTTTTAGCATCTCCGCTATCGCAATTCAGATTTCAGCAGAGCAGATATTCCGAAAAAATAAAATGAGAGTAAACATATTAAACTAAAAAATCTTTTCAAATATCATAGTTCTATAAAGACCTATATAAAAATGCATACAATCTACTATATAAATTCAGTATAAATCAAATGTGCAAAAACGATAACGTATATATTATTATTATGATAATTAATTCTACCAACGTTATATAAAACTATAATGATCCATACGAATAATTTTAACTGATTTCAGTATCAGTACTCAATTATTTTGTAAATTAACTTATTGACATAATTTATAATACTATATTATTATATTATGTATAAATATTGTATTATGTATATGAATCCAAAATTAAGTTTTAACAAAACGTGAGAACACGTCACTAATATTAAAGGAACCGTTCTCACCTGTCCGCTGATGTCCATTTCGTTGTTGGTGAGCTTGACTTTTTCGAACGACACAAACGTCTTGTGCAGCTGGTCACCAGTGAACGGCGAATCGGGGTGCGTGTACAGCCGATGCGGGGCTGGTGGGTCCGCCTTACCGGCCACCAGCCACGATGACTTGTGGTATGCGTACCGGTACCGTTTGTTGTCCACCGGTACGATGTCTATGAGCACTGAATACTTTTGGTTTGGGTCCAGCTTCCGGAAGCACACTCGCAGTGTGGGAAACATCCTACTGTAAACCACGAAGGATGTCAAAAATCAAATAATATCGCAAACGGAACCTATATTATGTTATATATATATGACCCCCCCTCCCCTCCGCCATCCCACGCGAACTCTACTGGTGCTTTCACCCCTACGATCCAAATCACACTCAAGTCCAGTTATAACTTGAAATTTAATATCTGTGCTATAAAATATTTTAAAATAAAATGTGAAGAATATGTAAATACATACAACACTTATTTAGTATAATATTTATCATGGATGCCAATAATGTGGATTAGATTTTCCGTTTTGACATAAAATTTTTTTAACGGATTTTTGTAATGTAATCGTTAATCAGTAAACTATTGGAATGTTTAGATTTTGAAAAATGTGTAGATTATACAACAATGCCAACTTCAGCAACATCATGATTTCAAAAACACCTTGTTGCTGCTGCATAATTTTTGCTAACAATGACCTCTAATTTCGAAAAATACTTTTAAACTAAATATATTATATTGTCTGATAATTACACCTACTTGTAGAGTGGGGAACAATATGTATTATTAAATGCATTTTTACGTATTTTTAATAGTTAATATGACATTAATTGACATACATCCTATATAATACTACTACCGTCAGGTTTTATTTGTTCATCGGTATTAGTTCGTACTTCATATACCTATACAAATTTAAAGTTTAACCGCATAAAGCGATCGCAATCAATTCTTGCGCGTGTGACGAGGTCGGACATCCCGCATCCATTACTTGCAAAGCCGAGCCACTAACTTGTTTAGAAAGTTAAAATTAAGTTTAAAAGTTACTTGTGTAATAACAAGTTTATAACTCAATCGGTTAGTTTCCATTCTTTATACTGCAGCAACTATAACTTAGTTTGTAATTCGTTGTATAGGAAACGTGAAAGCATATAAGTCAGTCATAAGTATATAGAGCTCAACTCAATGCACTGCTAGAAATATATAACGTACAGTCAACTAATGTCATTATTTTTTCTTGTACACAAGACTACTAAACATCAGTATAAAAAATTTACCGCTCGATCATAAAATATAAAATATAAACTTCATAATATGTATATAACACACACGATTTATGTAAATACGAAATTATATTTTATAGTGTGTATATACATTGTATAGCTATGGTAGATATTATATACATCATTCGAGTTATCGATGCGAGTGACCATATAATATATTATATTATGTCATTAAGAGAGCAGACCGATTTACTCGATCAAAAAGATTTTCGCTGAAGGTTGTACACATTCAATCGGATATCCGGAATGTGCATAGGTACATCTACCTGTGGTATATATTATTAGATAGGTACGTGCGTCGTACATCGCGCAGTCTCGTTGCAAATTATATAGGTATGTGCATCATATATAAGTAGCTATAATAATTGTTGTTGTAGCATATATTATATAGCATAAATATTATAACGATATGTAATAGTTGAATATAAAAAAAGGAATCGATTAAAATTGAATATAATATACCTCGACTCAAATAATTGTGGACTGGTTTTATATAGGTAACACTATAATATATTATACGGAGTAGCTTGATAAAAAGAAACGTTATATTCTATAGTAGAGTATAACTCGCATTCAAACTCGAACTATAATCATTTGCCCCGAGTGCACATGCAATGCACTACTGCAGTTCTATTCAACCAGAGGTTAAGAAAAATTGTGTGAATTTCAAAAACTATACATAGTATTAAACTCGTTCTACATACCTGATGAGTCTCTACATAATATAGTCTCTTCGAATCAAAGACAAAATTATTTGCCTCCTATGATAGTGCTGTATACAAACTATACGCGTTCGTTTTTGTACATTGAGTCGTATAATACCAAAAAATAAATACAATTATATAATACTTCTATTGGTTTTTATTTTTCCCGCCACCTCGACTTGAACCGGTTTAAAATTAAAGAGCTCGTACGCAACTTGTCGTCATCATCTCTGCACATATAGTTGCAGTACACGGAGTACTACGTATCATCGTCGTGTCGCACCTGCAGTTTACGCGTATATATGAGAGCATGTTATATGTGTATAAAATAAATATTATATATTAGGTGCATAGACGGAGAAAAAGCGCAGGTGAAACAAGCGCGGCTAATTATCCGTTAAGTCAGGATATTATATTTTATGAATTATCGTTTTCGCCTGGCGTGCAGCTCGGAAGCGGCTTTTATTATTAATTACGATCATCCCCGTATTATACACACACACACATATAATATTTTATGGGCGTTTGTGTCGGTATGTGCGCGCTTTCCGAGTATAAAACGGTGTGTTAAGAACTCGTTCACTCTCTATCTCTTTCACGCTCATCGGCGAAGATATATTATTATTATTATTGTTACTGTTGTTATTATTATTGTAAACTAAATATTGTACTTTGTAAAAGCTGTAGCAACAATATCAAAATATTATTGCAGCAAAGTTAAAGGAAGCCTTCGACTTTTGCACGAAACGACCGCCACAGCGTCCTCCGAATTCAGCAGAAAATATAGATGAATCGTTTGCGTGGACAAACTAAAAACAACTCTTCAATGTTAATACAGACAAGACAGAGTTATCGATTTTTCTAACTAAAACGGGTAGATGCGAAATGTCATTTTGAGAAATTTGTTAAATTATTTCTGAATAATATAACGTTCAAACGGGATAATAATAAGGATTGATGATTGTGTTGAATAGTCAGCCACGGAAACTCGCAAAAATTTCAAAAGCTCAGAGTTTGGTTGTACATTTAACCGACAAAAACTGCAAATACAGGAGAAAATATAAATGCATAATCGAATTTTTGTGTAAGCTTATTTGGTGGTCACTATTATACTGGTCGACCAGTTACCGCGACCAACAAGTTCATTTACGCAATATAGCCGTGTGTTCCATACAAATCTAACCAGTAGGCAGTACCTATGGATTATTTCAAACTTTTCGGCTATTGTAATACCTATGCAGTATTGCAGTGTCATCGGACCGACACGACTATATCATCAGCTATGGATACGTGTATATACAATTATATGAATATATATATAGTTCTAAACAGTTTATGAATAATATCCGAAAACCCGCGTCCCCCGCCAAACATAATTATATTATAGGTTTGCCGCATCGCAGCGCTCCGGGTGGTGACCGTAATTTCCTTACCGTCATCGCTATGTATAATGATGATAATAATAATATATTAGATACATGAATGCGTGTGTATGCTTTTATACCTAAATCATATTATACGGATGCCTAAAACGTTATTTGTCGACGATGACCACGACGGTATACCGCAGCGAGATGTTTGGTTAAAAATAATAACACTGAGTTTGATTTAATTATCGCGCGTTTAATGGGCTCGAAACGACCGTCGATCATGATAATAAAATATATCACACCCATACTTATTATAATATATTATAATGTATAAGAAGATCGTGGAGGGAAAAAATATTATAAAAGTATCACGAATTTCATCGAAACGGAATGGGAAATTCATATATAACCACGAATTTAAGCAATCATTAATTCACAACTATTTGGCAGTGTTTTGAGTCGCGTGCTATTTAACAGTAGAAAAAAAAGCTAATAAATTACAGAACGGCATCGATGTACCTATATATGAGTAGTATATATATATAATATAATTTACGGTATAATACACGTGTCGTCATCATCATCATCATCATCATATACGCTATACCGCCGGACCTTGACATAAAAATAATAAAAATAATAATAAATAATAAAAATATTATGTTTTCGCAATGGTATACGCAAAACCAAGTGTAAAAATACGGTATTAACGTTTATCGACCGATAAAAAAGCAATTTGTTGTAACGATGCGATCACGAAATTAAATGCGTACCTTCCGGTGATAACGTAAAAAAATAATCACAATAACTATGCTATAAACCAGATATTCTATAATTTTCTAGCTTTCTACAAAATTGGTATTTTTCTATTTTTGTGATCGATATCTTACATAAAGTAAGTATAAGTGATCTATTTACTATAAAAAGGGAAATTACTTCTTTTTTAAAGTGTTGAATATTGCATTTTTGTTAAAAATAGCGTGTTAGTATGTTGTCGGTTTGTCAGTTGTCGATGCTGTCAGTGCACAGTGTAGGTAGGTACCTACCATCATGTGCGTCACCAAGTGTACCTATCTTTTAGAAACATTGAAATATTATTTTCAAATGTGAACTGACACCTTAAAAAAAATTAAGTTAAGATTATAATATTAGTCGCGTCATTTGGCGTCCCAAGACACGATCGCGCTCATCGCCCAGTATAATAACAAACCCAATATGTGTATTACTGCGACTTGACAGGACGGGGGAATAAAAAAAATATATAATAAAAAATCGGTTGACATTTGTCAACGTCGCGAGGTTTCCAGGCGGCCGCGACCGTCGACGCAACCCAAAGGACGACCGCACGCTGCGCTCAGTGTAGAGCCGATAGTAGTCAACTAGTCTGTCGAACCAGCGATGAGCGGAGCTACCCGAGACGATAACCTTAAGTGGGAAAATAATATTATATAATAGGCATATTGATAAATCGGTGTGCAGAAATCTCTTAAATATCCAGTTTTTATCTATACAAGTTGTGTTTGATACTTTGATAATAGGTGTAGTCGCGATATATGTAGTTATGTAGGAACTATATAGGAACAATTGATAGGGATATGAAAGAACGATTGTAGAAAAACAAGCGACTGAGGGCCTTTTTTTCATTTCAAGCTGGTATACTTAAGAAATCAAAACGTAAAAATTTGAACATAATGCGCATTATGAAAGGATAAAATAATTTCCGGAAAATACCACCCTGTATATTATCATCACGGTCGTTAGTCCCATACTATATTTATGTAAATATATATATTTAATATGATATGTGCCCATTCCTATATCATATTCATATTGGTATGTCGGTATGTGTAATCGGTCGCGACAGTATCATTGTATGCGTCATTTTTTT